GAAGTGGCAACGCCGCAATGCTGAAAATATTTTAGATCGATAGAACAGGTAAGGAAATATGAGAGGTGAAATTTTCAGAAAAATCATGCTTTGCGTTTTCCAGAAACGTCTAACCTACCATCGACTGTGAGTCGTGCTGTTTAATAACTATCGATCAGTCAGTTTTTAATAAATTGATGGATGTAGCCTTTACTACGTGGTATGAAATCATAATGAAGAAAAGAGAATTGAAACTTTCTATGTTTTTATCACTTTTATTTGTAACTAACGTTACTGCATGCAGTTTCAGCATAACTTTTGCTCATTTGTCCCAAAAAGTACAGAGTTTGGTTGACACTAGCTGCTACTCAATTCAAAAGCAGCTAATATCTTTTTGCTTTAATCTTTTTGCTTATTTAGAGCAGAAATTTCGCCTATTTAAAGCTTAACGTTCCCAAACAGTACAGAGTTTGGTTGACTCTCTAGCTACCCAAAGTTAATATATTTTGCTTATTTTGAGCATAACTTTTGCTTAGAGTTCCAAAGCAGTTGGATGACTCTATAGGTGCTATCCAATTCAAAATCAGCTCAAGTTACTTTTTTGCTCTTTTTTTTATTATTCTCTAGGTGCTGCCCAATTCAAAAGCAGCTAATGATATCCTTTTGCTTTACTATATTTTGCTTATTTGGAGCATAACTTTTACATATTCGAAAGGTTAACGTCCTCAAGCAGCACAGAGTTTGATTGACTTTCTAGGTGCTACTCACTTCAGAAACAGTTGATATCTTTTTGCTTTAATATACTTCGCTTATTTGAAGCATAACTTTGACTTAAAGTTTCAATGCAGCACATAGTTTGGTTGACTCTATAGGTGCTATCCAATTCAAAAGCAGCTGAAGTTACCTTTTTGCTCTTTTTTTATTATTCTCTAGGTGCTGCCCAATTCAAAAGCAGCGAATGATATCCTTTTGCTTTAATATATTTTGCTTATTTGGAGCATACATTTTGCTTATTTGAAGGTTAACGTCCTCAAACAGCACAGAGTTTGACTGACTTTCTAGGTGCTACCCAGTTCAAAATCATTCAATGATATCTTTTTGCTTTAATATATTTTCCTTATTTGGAGCATAACTTTTACTTATTCGAAGATTAACGTCCTCAAGTATCACAGAGTTTGATTGACTTTCTAGGTGCTACCCAATTCAAAAACTGCTCATGATACCGTTTTGCTTTAACTTATGTTCTTATTTGAAGCTCAACTTTTGCTTAACGTCTGAAAGCAGCACAGAATTTAGTTGACTCTCTAGGTGCAACGCAATTCAAAAGTATTTATTGATATCTGTTTGGTTTATTATAGTTTGCTTATTTGAAGCATACTTTTTGCTTATTCGAGGGTTAACATTCCAAAGCAGCACATATTATGATTGACACAGAAGGTTCCCAATTCAGAAGCAGTTAATGATATCTATTTGCTTCAATCTATTTTGCATATTTTCAGCTTGAAAGTCCCAAAGCAGCAGAGAGTTTGGTTGACTCAATAGATGCTACCCAATTCAAAATCAGCTAAAAATACATTTTTGCTTATTCTCTAGGTGCTACCTAATATGCTGATATCTTTTTGCTTTCAAATATTTTGCTTAATTGGAGCGTGCCTTTTGCTTATTTGAGCTTCACGTTTCAAAGCAGCACATAGTTGCTCTGAGGTGCTATACCCAATTCAGAAGCAGCGAATGATATATTTTTGCTCCAATCTATTTTGCTTATTTCGAACATAAAGTTTTCTCACTTGGAGTTTAACAACCTGAAGCAGCAGAGAGTGGTTGATTTTCTAGGTGTTACTCAATTCAAAAGCTGCTCATGATACCTTTTTGTGTTATACTTTTTCTCTAGATTGATTCTGATGGTATAAAAATGAACACCAGAAATGTTCTTACCAGATTGATATTAATATAATTCCACTTCAATTTTCTCAATAACATTGTCTGCAGTTAAATGTTTGTAAAAAATAAGACACTTGATAAAAACTGTAGTGAAGTTTTTCTCGATTCGTATGAGTTATGAATTTTCCTGGGTTATTACTGTAATGTCTAGGGAACTAATTTTATAAACCCTTCTGGTAGGTACTACGTTGTTTTTATTACTACAGAAAACATATTCATACTTTTTATATCTTAAAGGAAACAGTATTGTGCTGGGCATTGACATATGAACTTGAGTGTGANCAAAAAGTTGTTTACCTGCTGCCATTATTATCATCCAACAAAGAACGGAGAGGAATCGCATTGGACGGCCATCTCAAAAAACAGGAAACCAATCTGGCATCAACCACTTTGTAAACACTTCATCATATCATTACGAGATGGTTAATAATTCTAATTATTATTTTTTTCAGATTGGCATCGCCTGAAGAACGTGATGCTTTTGGAATAATAGTTTCTTATGCAGTCAAAGTAAAACTGTATCTAGGTGCACTAGGAGGAGAATTAGCTGCTGAACTGCCATTTATTTTGATGCATCCTAAGGTGAGCTGTTACATCCACCTTTATCTGGCGTGTTCATACTGACTATCATTCTATCTAATTTTTTGCTTTATACAGTGAGCACCATATGTAACGGATAAATTCATTTTCTACGTTATTTTCAAGAAAAACCCTGAAACACATCGAATTATGATTTGAAAGGGTTATATTTTTAGGAGTGATTAATTTTTTGGGAAAGAAAGTTTTTGGCTTTCTACTACTCATCCATTTTTTTGTATCAGATGGAGTAGTAGAAAGCCAAAAACTTTCTTTCCCAAAACATCGAATTATGTATTCAAAAAGACACTCTGTGACATAAAAAAATCCCCCTCTCACCTCCCTCAACGTGACAGCCACCCCCCATTTTTTTAAATGCAAAAGGGGGTCAAGTGATACCTCATTTTGAAGGGTATTCAATTTTCTGTACAAGGTATTCCATTGAATCCGTCCGCATGCACCTTCAATTATTTTTTTATTTGTTTTTACAAACCGTTGTTTGTCAGCCGTGGCAGTTGAGTAAAAAATTGTATGTTTTCTGTGAACTTGCTGAAGAGAAACAGTTTTGCAGTTGTTGTTTGT